CATGAAATAGTAGTTCAATAAAATTTTGAATGCGAGTCAACAAACGAGATGACATGGCCTTTCACTCGTGACCCGTCTCAAATAGATTGTTGAAAATAGACTTATAGGAACTAGCAATGTGTAACTCAAAACTTGGAGCTTTTTTTATGTTAATACGATCAAGCAAAAACAAGTTATTTTAGTAACAATATTGAAGCTTTATGGGATTCATCTGCTCTTATAAAGATAGTAGTGATATCCACATCATTTAGAATAGTGCACTGTTCATTATGGGAATTACATCACTGTCCATAGTGTTACTTATCATAGACACTCCTACATTATGAGGTGCAATATGTCAGGGAGCCAATAAATAGTTCCGTGTTCACAGCTTAGGGTGTTAAGATTTTACCTTACAAAAACTGTAAATTTCAATTCTGTGAATATTTTATGAGACATAATTTAGACACTGTTATGATCCAGGTGGAATGTTGCCCTTTAGGGGCTGAAATTGTGGTAGAGCTGTTAATAGTGTTGTTCTAACAATGCTAAAGTATGTTGGAGATCCTGTGCTTAAGCCCTGTTGAGAGAAGAGTAAAAACTGTAACAAATTTAACTTGTGTACAAATTTTTATTTATCTTCTACTATTAAGGATAGCATGTTGAACTAATGTGAGTATATTTCATCATGGAAGCCTTAGTTTATGGTTTGTTAGTTTTTCCAACAATAAATTCCTGTTTTATTTTTTTTTTCAGGCAACTTTTGATCCAGAAATTTTCTTCAACATAATACTTCCTCCTATTATATTTAATGCAGGGTACAGTTTGAAAAGGGTAAATACTTTTGTCTTTTTCTTTAGCTTGATTGAGTTTTATATGTGTACAAACTTATATAATTCACCTAGCTTATGCTTTAATTTTTTATTAAATCTATATTTTATATATCTTCTCTTAACATTTAAAAAGAAGGATATTAACAATTATAATTACTGTTCCATTAACTTCTTTGTGACCAGACATTCTGTATTCCCGGAAAAATTAGGAAATTTTACAAAACATTTGAAATGTTATATTTGATTGTTTTATTGCATATTTTGTACATTAAATTCGGTGTTAAAGACTCCTATCAAAATATGCCATGTGGTTCCTGGAAATAGAAACAGCGGGCATACTTATCATGCCCCTGTGGTAAGCAAGGGTAATAGCTAAACATTTTATTAAGTATTTGTGCATTAAAATAATTTTTCTGAAAGAATAAAGACTGATGTACAACATTTATAGATATTATAAATTTAGGATTTTTTTTTTTCTAGCGATTCTTTTTTCGTAACTTGGGAGCTATTATGGCATTTGCATTTATTGGAACAACAATATCATGTTTTGTTGTTGGGTGAGTAGATAGAGGTTCATAGTTGCAAGTATTATTACTTTTTGTATGTATTTAGAAAGCATGTATAATATTTCTTTTAGAACACCTTTTTATTTTGCATTAACATAACATAACATTTTGGGACAACATGGGACCTATTGGTCTATCTCGGCTGTTCCATCCTTAAAACTAAATTAAAATGATTAAAAAAAATTTAAACCCAGCCCTTTTCATTCATATACTTATCAAGCTTTTCCTTAAACTCACTTAAATTTACTGCCTCTACAACATCTGAAGGTAATCCATTCCAAAAGGCCAACCACCCAGTTAGAAAAATAAAACTGTTTTAGCTGAAGATGACTCCTACTTTGCCAAAATTTATATTTGTGTCCCCTAGTCCTACTATTCTCACTGTTAAGTATGAAAACTATGATGTATCAACACTATCA